ATATGCCCTTTCCATATTAGCTAAAAACCAATAAAGGAGAAAAATGTGCTTATATGGACCCAAATTTCAGTGTCTTTACATTTCAACATTGCAGTATACACTCCTACACCCATCTCATGTTCTCAGACTGTGAAATGGGTATGACTTTTGACCTTCAATTTGTGTCAATATCCTTATAATGCCGTATTTACTAACTGATTGATTTCCTCCTTTTTATTCCACCACTACAGCAAGAAAAATTCCATCCTGTCTTAAAAACCCCCAGGCCTCTGGAAGGACGAATTGCCCGATTGATTCAGAACCGACGTCCTCTGGAAGCTATTGTCCAGCAAAGACCACCTTCCTGTCCAGATTGTACTCCTAGAGTTCTGTGCAATTTTCATACCTTTGTACCCAGTTCTACAGAAATGATGGCACTTGGCAATAACACACCAGCCGGTGTGACCCATAAACAGCAAGATATCGAAGAGAAGATTAAGGAAGAACAAAGCTTGCTGTCTACCTATACGCTCCCGTCTTGTTACCCAACAAAAGATCTGACTAGCATTTATGACATAAAACCATTTCCCAAAATCACGGATACTAAAAAGACAGAAGATTTGTACTGGAGACAGCTGTCATTAATACCCCAACCCATACCTTACTGTAAATCAAATGATTACCTTGACTATGAACATTTTAAATCTGACATACATGATCAGTATAGTATGTGTCAAAACCCTGTTAGCCTTAGTAAGCCTGGTATTTTTCAGTGTAAACCAGACATGGAAGCTTTTGCTTTAGAACATTTTTTATGTAAGCCGGAAGAACAGTTGGGCTTGAACATGGAAAACAATGAAGAAACAAGATCTATTCTGGGTTGGATTCCTAGAGCTGGAGTGGCCAAACCTCACACCAATCTGCTGGACCTTAAGAACTCTTTTTCAAAAACTGGTGCACAAAAACGTTTCCATAAATCAATTCTGGAAGACCATAGAGACCTCAGGGATAAGGTGCATTCAGGGATGAAACACCAATTCTATGGCCATAACTCCTACTATTTCTATAATTGAAATATTCATTCTTCCCTTTGAAACCCAGCCTCTTGCAAGAAAGAAAAAAATTTAACAATTTTCTTCATGTTGCTGGATTCTGTTTTCTAGATTAAGCCATAATGACATTGTTAATGAGGTTTATGTTTTCAGGAATTTAAGTTAGGATCTGGTCAGAGGAACCCAGAAAAGGTGATGTTCTGACTTCTTGAAAAGTTTAACAATTTGGGAATAAAATGTTAGAAACAGAAAAATTTACAGTCTTTAATCTCATCTTCAAATTATACTCCAAGGAAGTTTTCCAAAATCATTAAAAGCAATGCATACAACAAAGTTGACATCATTATTTTACAAAAAGATGAAAATTTGAAAAAAACTCAAATGCTCAATAATTGACAGATGATCATACAAACTGTAGTACCTCAATAAATATGTGAATATTGTCCTTTTATAAATGTACAAAATAACATTAGGCTGAAAAAACAAATACCCAGTTATTTGAGGGACAAATGGCTCTCAAACTATATTACCTTAATAAAGTAAATATGTGAACCCTGTTTATGTAAAAATATACACAAAATAACAGTAAGTGGAAAAGATGAAACTCAAAATGCTCTACATGCATACAAGTTGGATGTATTTCCTTCCTTTTAACTCTGGTACAGAAACAACTATTTTATGCAGATAAAATTATTTTACTGTGAAGGTCTAGCAATGGCTTTAATTAGTAACTGGTGAATTCTAATTGTGGCAAGAAAGAATAGCTTGATATCAATTATTCTAGAGCCCAAACTCATCATTTTTGGTGAGCTGAGCTGGGAGCAACTGGGAGTTGAGCTAACTCACATATGCAAGCTAATTTAATGTGCCAAGAGTTACATTTTAAACATAGTTTATCATGGAAAATTCATGGAGAACGTAAGTATTTTGTTAAGATTTCTTTAATTCTTGTTTTTGTTTTGTAACCAACATGTTATTTGGTTACATCCTCCTTAAAACTATTCTGAGCTAAAATTATGGAATTTTTTCCAAAATGTATTCTATGAAGCACCAGTTCCATTAGGTATTATGGGAGGCAGACATTTACATGGTGAACTAATACTGGAGAAAACCGAGGGCAACAAAGTCAATCAATGACTCAATCACTGGATTCTCCATAGCCTGTAATATGTTATGTAATTGGGAATGTCCAAAGTTAGGGGGATATAGTGTACATGTTTCTTAAAGTAATTTGATCCCCTTATCATAGAGCATATCTTTAGACTGGAATTCCAAAGAATAAATTTTGAGTCATGCAGGTCTGCAGTATAGGAATTTGGGGTTTTAATTGCACATTTTTCTCTGGGTTGCACGGGTACAGAATTGCATTCTGACTATGAGTGTTCACTCTACCCACCTCTTGCAGGGGTGGTACAGCCTTCTCAGACATTGCTCAACGCTTTTGAGAGGAATTCAGCCCTGCCCCTAACTCTACTGATAGTGAAGGCTAATTAATGGATCTGGCCTTATTTGGTGACAAAGAATACCTACACTCCAAATGTGCTCATCAAAAGCTCAATTTAAAAAAAAAAAATCTTTTTTTCCAGCAGCTGGCCAGTATTGGGAACTGAACCCATGACCTTGGTGTTACAAAGGCCATGCTCTAACCACTGAGAAAACTGGCCAGCTGGTCAATTTTGAAAAATATTAATGGATGGTTCCAGGTTAAGATATATTGAATCCATACATCTAATTCCATTTACTCTAAAAAGCATGTTAAAACTACAGTTTTTTTGTTACTGTTTTTTGTTACTTTGTGGATTTTTTTGTTTTTTGTTTTTGTTTTTGGTAGCTGGTCGGTATGGGGATCCAAACCCTTGTAGTTACTGTTGTAAATGTTGTATTTTTTGTTTTATCCTACACACAAAAGCTTAAATAGCCAGGTTACTGGGGAGAATAGAAGCTAAGACATCAGGAACATTTTAGAAAGGAGATAGATGAAAGATAGGTCCTGACGGGCTAAATATATTAAAACCCTAAACTGGCAGTGGGGAATACAGCAGTAGTTAAACAACAGAATCCTCAAAAGGCTCAGGAACTCAGTGCCAGGAGCCTTTGGGTCAGAGAGGGAAGGCAGGGTTGGGGTTGGGGAGGGGGATTACTAAATTAAGGAAGATTGGGTGAAAGCAGAGACACACTTGGCTCTCTCCCCCCTCCACCCCCTACTCTACAGTGCTGGGCAACAGCCCTTCCTTACCCTGCTAGAAGCTCAGAGGATTATTTTCTGAAGGTAGAAGAGAGGATTGCGGGCATGGAGAACACCAAGCATAGCTGAGGACCAGGTACTGTTGTGAAAATGAGGAGTGAGTGAGTGTACCAATCAGGATCCCAGCAGGAAACAGACAGAGGATTTCACTTGAAGGAAGTTTAGTGAAGGGACTATTTACAAAGATGTGGGCAAAGTTGAGGGAGCCTCCAGGGGATAGTGAGGCTCCCAGCAACTAGCAACAACAAGAAACCTCACCACTCCCAGCCCTTCAGGAAAAGGGAAGAGCCCAGTGCTATAGTGTCTCCCACTGGACAAACCCAACCAAAAGCCAGACAGCAAGGGGGCGCAGGTGATAAAGTCCTTAGAGGTCAGTGGCTTAAGACAAGGGAGGGTGGAAAATGGATGTAGATGGAGAATAAAAGAATAACCAGCACCATGATCTTATACTAACTCCTAAGTGCCTAGAACCACAGCCCCCTTCTGCACTTGGCTGCCAGGAAACTGACAGACCTCAACTCTCCAGGAAAGAGTTCCCAACTGAGGTTGAACACTGCCTTCTTGTATCAGCTCTCATACTGTAAACAAGTGTCCTTTTCATGGTCTGTTTTGTGCCATGTTTTTCACATTTTTGTGCCTTTTGTTGGTGATTTTGGTGTTTAAGATAGCCCCCAACAATAGTGCTGAAAGTGCTATCTAATGTTCCAAAGCACAAGAATACTGTGAAAATACATGTGTTAGACATGCTTTTTCAGGCATAAGTTATAGAGCTCTTGGCCTTAAGTTCAATGTTAATGAAACAATGCAGTATATCCAGAAAAAAAATACAGTTTGATTATCTGTATGTGAGGCCACTCCAGAAAGTGTTAAAGTAATATATATGTGTAAATCTAACAAAACATGTACAGAACTCATATGCTGAAGACTATACAACACATATGAAAGAAATCAAAGAAGATATAATTAAACAGACATACCATGCTCATGGATTGGAAAACTCAACATAAAAAAAGATGTCAATTCTCCCCATATTAATATACAAGTCTAATGCAATTCCTACCAAATCCCAGAAAGATTTTTTTGTACCTATAGGCAAAATTCTTCTGAAATTTATATAAAAGGCAACTAGAGTAGCTAAAACAATTTTCAAAAAGAAGAATAAAGTGAGAGAAATCAATGCTTGATTTCAAGATTAGTTATATAAC